AGCTCGTAGACAATGTACGCGTCATGATTTGCCTCCTGCAACGCCGCCTCCCACTCGAGGGTGTTGTCGACGTTGTGGTAGGGAGAAGACCACAAGTGGTTCGCCACCTTCTCCTTCACGACCTCCCTGTCAGGGCCCTGGAAGAGGCAAGAACCACCTTTCGCGCAAGCGCCGCGAGGGCAAAAGCCGCGCCACAGCCATTCCGCGCCGCTAGAGCTCGCGGCCTCCGACGGTCCATCCATCGCTGCCCGCCGAGCGCGCCTTGGCCCTTGGCCGCTAAGAAAGAAAACCGCTTTGAATAGATTGAGCCCAGACGAATGCAGATGACAACTCGCGCGGCCCGCCCCATGGAGCGAATGCAATCGCTGAGAGGAAATGCAACGGGCAGGGGCGTAAGGATGCCGACGCATCGAAGGGGGCTGAGCGAGGAGGTCGAGCAAGCCGAGGCGACCGGAGGGGGGGGGGACGGCCCGCCGAATCTGGGGCACTTTTTTGCGCGTGACAGCCCAGAGAGCGTTGTGAAGGAATGCCCCGCCAGATTTCTCACAGAACTCCCCGTGGGATCTCTTCAGAATCAAGATCCACTCTTGCCTTGCGTTTCTATATGTTGAATCACTCGCGGGCTCGTTTATCAACAATATATTCTGCACTCTCTGCGCGCACAAGGGACAAAGAGAAATAGAAGAGAGAGGGGCAAGGATAAGTAGACGAGAGAGGTGACCTGCATGGCGATTCAATCGCTTGTGAACTGCATAGCGAGTCAATCGCTGGTTTTTTGTCTCAAATGTCCTCGAGGGCATCAGTGTTCCAGGCGGCCTGCGCCCGCGGCGCCCGCGTGCCCTCGGGGGCGCTGCCCTTGCTGCCCTTGCCGTCCTTGCCGCCCTTGCCGCGCTCGGAGAAGGCGCCGCCCTTGCTCTGCTCCTGACCGTTGCCGCTCTTGGAGGAGGCGCCCTTGCCGCCGCCCTTGCCCTTCCAGTCCGAAGGCCGCTTCGGCGCGTGGCCTGCTTGCCAGCCCCAGCCGCCGTAGCCGTACTTCTCCTCGAAGAACTCCCTGGATGAGCCACCGCGTTTCTTCCGAAGCCGCTCGCCTTCTGACCATCTGTTGCCGCGCCACATCGTCGGCCCCCCCTCGCTTGGAGGAGGCGGGCCGCGCATGGCCCATGGCACGCCGAACTGCCTTGCCACGTCCGACTCGTCCCTGAGAGCCTGCGGGGAGTTCCACAAGGCGGTCACCCTCGCTTGCTTGCGCCTCTTCTCCCAAGGGTCCTCCGCTTCGCCGCCGCTGTCGGGCTCGCCCATGCCGCTGGCGCGCCACTCGCCCTTGCAGCCTTTGCCTTTGTCGGCGGCGCTCGGCCTCTCGGACTCTGAGTCTGAGATAGGACTCATGCGCGATTCGTCGCCAGCGCCCCCGCTCTCCTTGCTTTCACCCGCCTCCTGGGCCCCATCCTGGAACTGCGCAAAGGGGTTGCCCAACGACAACAACGATTGCAGTGACCTCTCCGCGTCGTCGGCCATTGTCGCTGGCGCGGCCGCCGAGGCCTTGAGCCGAAATGGCAATGCGAAGGCGCGGTCGCAGGGGCGCTCCGCGAGCAAGCGAATGCATCGCTGACACAGGGTTGAGGTGAAGGGAGTGCTGCTTCGATGGGGGGTCGGAGGAAAGCGAATGCATCGCTGACGCGGGGTTGGGGGTTGGCTTGAGGGGTCGAGGCCCCCTCCATCACTCCCCCCTCTCACCCTCCTCTCCCCTCTCACCCCTCTCACCCCTCTCACCCCTCTCACCCCTCTCCAAGTCAGCGGTCCATCACTCTCCCCTCTCACCCCTCTCACCCTGTCTATCCCCCAAGCGAATGAATCGCTTAGCGAGTGGATCGCTGTTCTTTTTATCGCAGACAAAGGTAAGACACGCCCTCGCGAGAGTAAAAGAGAGCGGCAGGGTTCCCTGGGGCGCTCGCGCGGCTTACCCAAACGCTAGGATGCGCTCTCCAGGGCCCCATATACAGAAGCGCGGTAGCGAAATGCATTGGACGCGTGACTATGAGCAAAGTGCGTGGCGGACCCAGCGCGGCCGAGAGCGCCTCAGGAAACCTACACACATTATGAGCTACTTACCCAGCAGCTTCGAAATCCTGAGCCGCTCTTTGCAACTCGAGCACCCCATTTTGGCGTAACGACACTTCGAACACCCGAGCTTTTTGATGGGCTTGAACAGGGGTGACACGGTGACGCCCTTCCCGTGGCTTTTGCCCGTCGTCTTAGCCCCAGCCTTCGTCGCCTTTGCTTTCGCCTTCCCCTTTGCCTTCCCCTTTGCCTTCGGCTTCGGGCCCTCCCCCTTCTCCTTGGTCACGAGTCCGTGCAGGATGTCCTCGGTGACCGAGGCGACATCCTCCTTCTTGGGGGGAGTCTTGTTCCCTTTGGCGACGCTGGCTGCTGCAGGCGTCGCTGGCGACGGTGGCGTTGGCGCTGCTGGCGACGGTGCCCCTTCTGAGGCGGAAGATGGAAGAGAACTCGGGGCAGCGCCCCCCACGGCTGCGAACGCCGAGGCCGCGGCACGTTTCGCGCCGCCTCCCAGGATCTTGAGGTTCAAAGGGCCCGTCTGAGCGCCGACGTCCGCCCGCCGCAAGTTGTCGAACATGAGCTGCATCATCTGCAAAACGTCGGGCTGCGACGCCGAGGCGCTCATCATCTGCGCCCCCGTGGCCTGCTGCTTTGTGTTGCGGCACGGGTGCGTAGCCTGGACGGAGCGAATCGCGGCTTCTGGCGCGGGGCATGCCGCTGGCAATTCGTCGCCATACACTTGCTTGAAGAAGCCAGGGTGGTTCTCCCAGAACGTCGAGGGGGACGCAGGCAGCTCGGTCAGCCGAACGGGGGGCGCAGGAAGCCTCGAAACCTTCGTGGGTGAAATTGCGGCCAGGGGAGGGGGGGGGAGAATTGGAACAGCTGGGGGAGGCGTGGTCGACGACGAGGGCCGCAATTTCACCCGCAGCCTGGCGCTTGAACACGCGCTTGGTCTGCTGGGGGTACGAGTACTTTGCAGCCCACGCCACATTCTTCGCGGCCTCGGCTCCGTCCACTGCCATGCGCCACATCGCCGTCAACATCTGATGCGTGCCTTCGGTCGGGTTGCGAAGCCCCAAGCTAATCGCAACATCAACCAGCACGTTGAGCTTCGCTTCCTCGGGCACGTCGGCCCGCGCCAACTGGTGCCACGAGCCCGCTGTCAGGTACCCGAAGATGCACTCGTAATCCTGCTGAGCCATTCGCAAGCCCACGGCGCTGCCAGAAGCCACGATGCTGCCGAGCTTCTCCAACAGCCTCCCCTTGGAAACCTCGGACCAGGGTTGCGCTGCGACGAGAGACGAGAGGGTTGTCACCTGCGTGGGCTGCAGCCTCGCGCTCCCGAAAGCCTGCACGAGCATCCTTTCCTGCGTGGCCGCCACCGTATCGAAACAGGGCTGCCCTTGCACTGCCTCGAGCAATCGCCCGACGGCCTCGGCTTGGTCGCGCAAGCGCTGGGCAGCCATATCTACGGCAAAAAAAACGCGCGGGCTTGCGCATGCAAACGGCTTCGAATGATGGCGCAGTGGGGGCGGCATGGGCAAGGGCCTCATAGCGAATTCATCGCTTATAGCGAATTGATCGCTCAGATAATTGCACAGCGAATTGATCGCTCAGAGAACCACATAGCGAATTTATCGCTCATACCCAGGAATGCGTTAGCGAATGCATCGCTGTCATCGCCCTTCCCCCCTCCTTTCTTCTCGCCGTCCTACTGGCTAACTACCGAACCGCAGGGGGGGAGGGAAGGGGAGGGGCATGGAAATTGCAGAAGTTATGAAAGTTGTAAGATGGTTAGATGTCGGTTATAGCTTGTTGTATAAGTATGGTTACGGGCACCGTGTAAGTGTAGTTGCGGCTTCGGTAAGTACATTTGCATATGCGACGACTACATCTATAAGTATGATAAGGCACTCTACTTTGCTAAACCGAAGTCGCTACGCCAGTACCGAAGCTGGCGGAGGTCCACACTGGACTGCTTGGAGCGGCGCCGGCGGCGGCGCACCACGGCGGGCAGAGCGACGGCCCGACACACCCGTGGGGACCTTCGAAAGTTTATGCCGATGAAGGGGAAGTGGGGGGCCTCCTCCTCCTCCTTCTTCTCCTCCTCCTCCTCCTCCAGTTCCTCCTCCTCCTCCTGTTCCACCTCCTCCTCCTCCTCCTCCTCCTCCTCCTCCTCCTCCTCCAGTTCATCCACCTCCTGCTCCACCACCTCCTCCTCATCCTCCTCCTCTTCAGTTCCTCCTCCTCCTGCTCCACCTCCTCCTCCTCCTCTTCCTGCTTCTCCTCCTCCTCCTCCTCATCCTCCTCCTCTTCCTCTTCCTCCTCCTCCTCTTCCTCCAAGCCTTCGCAGAGGGCGGCCGGGGCTCGGAGATAGCTCAGATCGCCTACACGCAGGAGTGGCCCTAGGCGAGAGTGGCCTCTGGTGCGCGGCTGCACGGGGGACGCGGGGTGGCCAAACCCGGTCGCGCAAGCCGCTGCTGCCGCTTCGCGCCCAGCGATCGGGAGACCCCACTGGGCCCGCGCCCAAGGTCACTATGGCGAACGGTCACTCTGACGTCCCGTGGATTAGAATGCTTCTCAAAAGGGCTTCTCAATGGATTGGCCATCCGAGCCTTCCGAGGAGGCCCGCCCAGACCTGCCCCCCCCTGTGATGGGCCTGTTTTCCACCACCACCACCACCATAAGTTGGAGGGGGGAACAGGAAAAGGAGGAAGAGGAGGAGGAGGAGGAGGAGGAGGAGGAGGAGGAGGAGGAGGAGGAGGAGGTGGAGGAGGCGGACGAGAAGGACGGGGTGGAGGAGGAGGAGGAGGAAGAAAGGAGGAGGAGAAAGAGGAGGAGGAGGAGGAGGAGGAGGAGGAGGAGGAGGCGCCGAGGGGCGCCGAGGGGCGCCGGCCGGCGAGCGGGGAGCGGCCGCTCGCGCGGGCGCGCGCGCGACCGCGCACCCGGAGCCGCCAGGGTGGAGCGCGGCGTGGGCCTCCCGCGACGGGGGCGGCGACGGCGAGGACGACGGCGGCAGGGCGCTGCCGAGGGCCGGCGGGGGGGAGGCGAGGGCTTTCACCTGCAGGGCGGGGGTCAGCGGTCGCGAGGGCGACGGGCAAAGGTGCAGTGGCGGCCACGGGCCGTGGCCCGGAGCCGCCAGGGCGCGCGCGCGCCGGCGCGCGCCCCTCTCAAGCGCAAGCGGCGAGAGACCGAAACGGGGAGCTGTTCGTCAGGCAGCTCTTCTGCCGACTGGCTGGGGGCCTGTGGGAGGCCCATCGTCGCCGCGGCCAGGCTCGCCTCGAAGATCTGGTCAACCCCTTGGCAAGTCCACTGGGCGTGTTCTGAGCGGCGGCGCCGACGGCGTCGGCGGCGGCGACCCGGAGAGCAGCGGGAGCGGCGTCGGCGTCGGCGCGAAGCGGCGGCGGAAGAGCCGCAGTCGACGTCGACGCAGGGCGGCGGAGCGGCGGAAACGCGCGCCACCGAAGGCGTAAGCGCGACGACGGCGTCGGCGTCAGCGCCTTGGACAGGGCGCTGCCCAGCGGGGAAGCCTGGCTTGACGGCTGAAAAAAACAGCTATGGGCCCGCGCTCCCAAGGCCACGATCCGTTTTTGATGTTCTGGGGTCTGGGCTCAAAAAGCTGCGATCTCTTCTGGAAACAACAGATCAGCTCGTCGGAGTCGCGAGCAACCGGGCCAATTTTCCAACCAGCAACCGAGCCTGCGAACCAACCCATCAACCTAGCTACTAGCTCAACTGCTAAGAGTCCATCCAGGTAGCAAGCCAGCCATCCCTTTGCCAGCATACTAACCGATCAACCCATCAACCAACCACATCGGCCCAGCCGCGCAGGCCATCAGAGCGCAGGGGGGGGCTGGCGGCACAGGGCCGAGCCCTGTAAATATGCTGTGTCGAGATGGGGCTGACTAACTCGAACATGCGAAGGCTGCCGAGAACGATGCGATCTGACTCAGGCGCAGACGTTCTGTGGGCAAGGTGCGCGAGCCACCGACAGAACGACGGTCACGAGCCGAGCTCAACCGTGCCGAGTGCGCCCGAGCCGGGCCGAACCAACTCGAGGCGTGCGGACCGTGCGCAGAAGACAGCTGTACAACACCGCCGTGTATGCCCAGGGCCGTCCAGGACACAACCACCTCTGGCCTCGCCCCCCCCCATCAGGGCCACGCAAGCGAGGTTGCCCAAGACCCAAGACAATCTTGGAGCAACATGGTCATGCGCAATTGTCTGCCCGTGGCTGGTTCCTGGGAGGCCGTGTCTGCATTCTTCTTTCGGGGCGACAGAACAGCTGCCTCGTGGGAGTCATCAGTGGAGAAGAGGAGCCGGATGCAAGTAGTGCTGCAGTTCTGCACTAATGATCTTGTACTTAACCCTGCTCGCGCGCCGTTCGGCGCAAGGCTTGCGTTCGTTCGATCTTTCTGGCCTCGACCAGGAGGGTCTAGGATCGGGAACTCAGGGATGGCTTGTCGCCGCGGCGGCCCCAACGACACGCTATGCCTTGCGACTGAGTAGCGTGTCGCTTGCTCCGCGGGGCGGGAGGCTCGGAAAACTGGACGCTTGGGAATGGGAGAGTGGACAGCACGTCGCGCCGAGGAGCGGTGGGCCAGAACTGGCGGCGCGACACACTGAGCCAGGATTCCCGACGACATACGCCATCCTGTCCAGAGTTTGTACGGCGGCGGTGTGCGGCTGCTGCCTCCTGGAAAAGTCAGCACACACGGTGAGCCCTCCCTCGCTCCAGGTCCCAGGTGCGCCCGCGACGCAACGACGGCAGGGTGCGACCGAGGGCCCCCCGGCTCAAAGGGGCTCAAACCAGCATCAGCACACGCCTTCGGAGGTCCGCGTGGAGTTCGCGGATCGGCACCGGGGCCCGCTCCCCGGTGCGCGGAGAGCGCCAGGGGCGGCGCCGCCACGAGGGCCCCGCGCCGATCCAGGAAGTCCGCGCTGACCTCCAACCATTGCTGTTTTGTGCAATATTGCTATGATTCATGATGCCCTTATTATTCTTCTTTGTCTGTTGTATGCACTATTATTATGATTCATGATGTTTTATGCAATATTATCATGATTCATGATGCGCTTATTCTTATTATTCTTCTTTGTCTGTTTGTTATTCTCAGTGTTCTTCTTCGATGCACCCCATGTGTCCATGCCCTGCTCAGGGGGCCCGCGGTGGCGCGAGCACCCGCGGCGGATGCTCGGACCACGGCCCGCCGAGCGGAGCGCTTGCACGGGCGGCGAGGGGAGGGCGGCGGCGGGCGCGGCCATCGTGAGGAGTGCCCAGGCGCCCACGGCGACTAACACCTCGGGAAGGGCGCGAGAGGCGCAGCAGGAGGGAGGGACGCCATAAAAAGGCGGCCCGGGGCACCTCGGCCAGGCGGAGCTCGGCCAGCGGAGATCGGCAGAGCTGACTTCGGCCCAGGCCAAGCTCAGCCTGGCCGAGGTCAGCTGGCTGAGTTCAGGCTGGCCGAGCTTCGCCCGGCCGAGTCTTCAGTGGGCACAGGAGGGCCTCAGGAGGCGCACCAAGATTGCTCCGAAGAAAAACCCACAAGGGCCCCAAGAGGGCCACGAGGAGGGCTCGGGGTGCCCCAAGACGTGACCTGAGGCTAACAAAAGCTGACTCCCCCCGCCCACCTCAGCCTAGTTCCCTTGCCCCCCCTGCTCTGCCCCAGCAGCGACCGCAGCAACGCAATGTCGTCTTCGTCCAGGCGTCGTCCGTCCGCCGGCTGGCCAGCCGCCACAGGGGCACGACACGGAATGTGCGATGCACCAGAGAGGACGAGATCTAATGCGAGGGAGTTAGAAATAGAGTGGCTGTCGCAGACATATGTGTTCGCCAACATGGGCCCCTAGACAATGATTTCTTGTAACATATGGGGTGCAACCTAGGTTGTGCAATCCGTGTGGTGCAATCGAGGTGGTGCAAGCCAGGTGGTGCAATGTATGTGGCGCAAAGCAACGCATCGCCTGCCAAGCAGTGTATTGCATTGCGAAGCAATGAGGAGCAGTGCAACGCAAGGCCAACCAAGGCAAAGCAAGACACAGCAATACAATGTAAAACCATCAAGGGCAATGCAAAGCAATGCCAATCAGTGCAACACAACGAAAGCAACACAATTCAATGGAATGAAATACACAGCAACTCAAAGCCCAGACGGCGACGGGGCGTCGACGGCGATCACACAGCCTCCAGACCAGCGGGCAGGCCCAAAACTACGGGGCGGCGACGGCGACTAGATAACCACAAGACCGAAGACGGGCGGCGCACATAGCCGCCAGACCGACGGCAGGCAGTCCATGTTCCTTGGGAAAGACGTGAAACATCCCTAAGTGCGGGCACTGCTTGGGGTATCAGCTGATCTGCGTATATATTCATATATATATACATATGTATATATCTATATCTATATATACATGTATACATATAGACAGAGTTCGATAGAACTCAGCCAGTGTGGAAATCAACCAGTTTGCTTCTAGCCGTTCATGTTGTGCAATGTCTACACATACATATATAGTGTGCAATGTATGTGGAGCGCTCTGTATGATGCAAGCTAGGTGGTGAGAATATATGGTGTGCACTTTATGTTGTGCAATCTAGACTGTGCAACCTGTTTGTGGTGCAATCGATGTTGTGCGCTATATGCGCTGTACAATCGACGTGGTGCAATCTGTGTGGTGCAATCTAGGTTGTGCAATCTACGTGTTTCAAATATCCCTTGTGGCATGTAGGTGGTGCAATATGTTGTGCAACACTTGGCATTCAATCTAGGTGGTGCAATCTATGCGGTGCAACATGTGTTGCGCAGCCCAAGCGGCGACGGCGACCACATAGCCGCCATACCGACGTACAGGCCCAGACGACGGACGGCGACGAGACGGCAGCTGCGACCACATAGGCGCCAGACCGACCCGCAAGCCCAGACGACTGGCGGCGACGAGGCGGCAACGAGGAGGTGACGACGACCACATAACCACCAGGTCGACGCGAGGGAATCTATGTTAGCCAAGGGTGACCCCAACCAGTGAGTTCATGCAACCCGTGCGGTGCAATCTAGGTGGAGCAGTCACTGTGGTGCAACCTACGTGGTACAGTGCATGCGGTGTAAGCCATGCGGGTTCAGCAATACGGTGCACGATGGGTTGTGCAATATTTGTTTGCAATCTGTGAGGTGCAACCCATGAGGAACAACCTAGGTGGTGCAATATTCGCGGTGCGATCTAGGTGATGCAATCTATGCCTTGATTGCATTGCGAACTACTGCAAAGCGGGTGGCGGCGAGGCGGCGGGCGGCGACGGGGCGGCGACGACGGCCACATGGCGGCCAGAGCGCCTGGCAAACCCAAGCGACGGGCGGCGACGAGGCGGCGACGGCGACCGCACAGCCGTCAGACCAACGGGCAAGCCCAGAGCAACGGGGCGGCGACGGCGACCACATAGCCGCCAGACCGACGGGCAGGGCCAGAATGCGGGCGCCGACGGGGTGGCGACGGGACGGCGACGGCGAACATCTGTTGCACCACGTGGTTCGCACGATATAGATTGCACACCACAGGCTGCATAGAAGATCTTGCACCACATGCGTTGAACCACCTAAGTTCGCACCTAGATTGCACAACGTAAATGGCACAACATGGATTGCGCCACGTAGGCTGCACCGGACATACTGCCGACCTCTGTTGCACAACCCCTACCTTTGGAAGCGTTGTTAGAAATATTATTTGGGATCCACGCTAGCCGCCATGCGTATGTATATATATATATATATATATATATACCTGTACACATCTGCATCGTTCCACCCTCGCATAGTTTATGAATATATATATATATATAAAAGAACTTACGCATATTCGGTTGCCACAACAGCATTTGCGCTTCAGGGTGATTGCCTCTGGTCTGAGGAACTGGGCCTGCCTGTTGGTCTGGCGGCTATGTGGTTTGCAATCGATGCGGTGCAACCGATGTGGTGCAACCAATGTGGTGTAATATCTGTGGTGCAGCCTATGTGGCACAATCTACGCGGTGCAATTGGTTTGAATAATGATACCAGAGAAAAACCCAAATCTGATTGTTTTAATATTCCAACTGCTCCCTTATAGGGCTAAGGGCTATCGGGCTATAGGGCTATCGGGCTATCGGGCTATAGGGCCATAGGGCTATCGGGCTACAGGGCTATAGGGCTATAGGACTGTGACCTATAGGGCTATAGGGCTATGGGGCTATAGAGCTATATGGACTATGGGGCTATAGTGCTAAGGGATGTAAGGCTATTAGGGCTATAGGGGGATAAGGCTATAGGGTTACAGGGCTATAAGGCTATAGGGCTAAAGGGCTATAGGGCTACTGGGCTATTGGGCACTCCCGGGCACACCCGGGCACCCGGGCCCGGCCACCGAAATCGGCCACGCACCTCACCACCACCCGGGCACCTGGGCACCGCCGGGCACCCGGGCACCCCCGGGCACCCGGGCGCGGCCACCGAAATCGGCCGCACCTCTCACCTAATCCTTTAATCCGCTAGGACCCCTACAGAGGCAAGCTCTGATTGGGGAAAAACGAGTTGACGCATCCCATGCTCTCGCAAGCGCGCCGCCCACCCACCCGCAACTTTATTTGCAACCCCCATGCGGCGGCGATTGCGATGAGTGCTTGGCGCTGGCTGGTGCGTCTCTGCGGCCGTTTCAACCCAAGACGCGCGCGCAGCGGCCAGCTACTTTGGCGCGACCGACGCGGCGGCTGCGGCGGCGCTGACCGCTGGGCACATCCCAGCGGGCACTTCGGTGCGAGACGGCGACTTGGGCGGGCGCGGTATCATGGCAACGTCGACAACGGTAAACATGATGATGATCGTAGCGGTGATGGTGACGATGCTGACAGCGGCGACAGCACGGCGAGTGACGGCACGGCGCGGATGCTGATCAGGCCGGCGTCGATGACGGCGTCCTCGCCTCGGTGATGAAAAATGTGGAAGGAGTTCGACGCGCGCGCGGCAGACGCGCGAGACTGGCCGCATGGTATTATTTGACACACGTATCGCCCCCCCCCCCCCCCCCCAGCACGAAGGCAAGGGTGTTCGAATGATTTCGACATGCGGCGCGAATGGCTCGTATGGCAGAAGCCCGAAATCCAATGAACATGTTGAACCAGTTATGGTTTCCTGGGGGATTCGCTAAGGGCGCGGGCGCCGTTTTTGTTTTGAAAACTGATGTTGCGAAACCACTGCGATTTTTAGACACCCGGCTTTGAAATCCTTACGGAACCACAGGTTCTTGAAGGATTTTGGCATGCGCGCGCATGTATGTCGTTTCGTTGTGTGCGAAAAATCCTGGCGAGAGCATGCGCGCAAGGGCGTTCGGACGATGCCGACATGCGCTCGCGCGATGCCCGTTTGGTAGCATGTCATAACACATGTTGAAAACAGGTTGGGTGTCTTAAGAATCCGTAAGAACGCGTGCAAGTTTTTTTGTGGACAGTCGATTTTTGAAATCCTTGCGGGACTGACGGTTTTTACAGTAATTCGGCATGCGCTCGCGAGGACGCGCGCGTGCGCACTTCGTCTCATGTTTTGCAATGGGTTTCTTGATGACCGATGACTTCAAACGAGTGCGCGCGCATGCTAGCTTGTTGCCGAGGATGGCGGGACAAGGCCGGTACAGGCCTGCGTGGGATGGTACGAATTCGTATTTAGGATGGACGGCCGATCAGAATCATCTGCACATTGCAATACGGAAAGGGGAACGGATAATCCCAGGTGGGGGGTCGAATCGGCTTCCTTTCGAGAAAAGGCGGATCTAGGTTGTACGAAATATGTGGTGCAAACCTACGTGGTGCAATCTACTCGGTGCGTGATTTTATGTTCGCAATGCGTTGTCCACTCCAGTGCTCTCGCATGCGCCCCACCCACCCACCTGGAACTTGGTTTACAAACCCCGTGCGGCGGCGTTTGCGACGAATGCTCGGCGCTGGTTGGTGCGTCTCTGCGGCCGCGACAGCCTGCGCATGCGCGCGCGCAGCGGCCAGCTACTTTGGCGCGACCGACGCGGCCGCGGTGGAGCTGATCGCTCGGCGCACCCCAACGGGCACTTCGGTGCAAGTCGGCGACGTGAGCGGGCGCGATATCATGGCAACGTCGACAACGATAGACACGATGATGATCGTAGCGATAATGGCGACGATGCTGACAGCGACGACGGCACGGCTAGTGACGGCGCGGATGTTGATCAGGCCAGCGTCGATGACGGCGTCCTCGCTCCGGTGATGAGAAATGTGGAAGGAGTTCGACGTGCGCGCGCGGCAGACG